AAAAAAAGTGCAAATTAATGCATGAAAAAAATAAATAAATAAAATAATAGTGAGTCACGTAAATCACAACGAATAGTCGATAAAAGGAAAAGAATTTGTTGATGGGCACATACAAACGTATGTATGTATTTATGTATATGTACATTAGGGTGCAGCACTCTACCTACAAAAAACACTGTAATGTTTTTCAATGGGAATTATAAAATTTATTATGTTTTAAGACATCCGCCAAAAATTTTGCTAAAATAATAAGATCTACGAGAGCAGGACCGATTTAAGATTCCTCCGAGAGTCGAGTCTTTATAAATATTAGTTTAAAAAAAAAATCAAGAAAATCAGCTCAGATGATAGAAGACTTTAATCTTACAAAGTTTGCAAAAAACGTTAAAAAATTTATCAACAATGTCAAAATAATGAATTTTTTGGTAGTGTTTTTAAATCGGTCCAGCTAACGTATGTATATACGGAATTTGACGAAAGTTTAAAAAATTTATAATTCCGTTGAAAAACCTCTACTGTTTTTGGTGAGGCACCCTAATGTATGGGTATACATAGTGATACACATACATATGTACACCCGTATGCACTTTTGAGTTAATACATATTCTTATATTCATATGTATCTTTACATCGTCATTTCAAAGCGTGACTTGTTTGCTTCGTAGGCGTGATTAGCTTTGTTTACGCTTGAAAATAATTTGAGTTTTAATGCATTTTTTCAATTGTAAAAACCTTATTCATCCTTATATCGAGTTAAATAACCAAAACTAATTAGAAAACAAGTAAGAAAGTCTAAGTTCGGGCAGAGCCGAACATTAAATACCCGGCGCAGGTACTAAGTATATGATTTTCACCTTTGCGAAAGCTACCACTACATGGTAAGCCGGTGTGTATCAATTTTGAGTAAATTAGCGTCCTTAAATTTCGAAATATTGAAGTTTCTAGCATTTCGGAAATTTGCCGTTATATGAAAAGTGGTCGTAATTTGAATCTGATTCCAATAATTTTCAACGTTTTGCTTCTATGTGGCAAGCACAATAACCATACCGAGTTTGGTACAAATTGGTAGAACGGTTACCGAGATACATATATGTGATCATAAGTGGGCGGTGCCACGCCCATTTTCCAAAATTTTATCATAAACGTATTTCTTGGTAAAGAATTGTTGCAAGCATCAATTTTGAGTAAATTATCTTTAATATTTATTGATTTATCGAAGATTTCGTATTTCTCCAAAATACCGTTATATGGGAGGTAGGCGTGGTTATTGTTCGACTTTAAAAATTTTCGGCCATTTGGTATGCTGTAGCAAGGCTAACAACTGTACCAAGTTTGGAAAAAATTGGTGCAGCGGTTACCAAGATATGCACATGTATCCATAAGTGAGCGTGGCTATGCCCATTTTCAAAAAATGTATAATATTCTTATTTTTCGTCTAAAAATTATTGCAAATATCAATTTTGAGTGAATAATCTTCACTAGTTACTAAAATATCGCAGTTTTCGTATTTTTAAAAATTACCGTTATATGGGAGGTAGGCGTGGTTATTGTCCGATTTCGCCCATTTTCAATACCATCCGTCCTACGCCCGAAAGAAGTGCACATACCAAGTTTCGTTAAGATATCTCAATTTTTACTCGAGTTATCGTGTGCACAGACGGACGGACGGACAGACAGTCACCGCTTAATCGATTTCTCTTTTCATTCTGATCATTTATGTATACATTTGTCAATATCTATCTCGATTCGTTTTGCCTGTTACAAACAACCGTTATGTGAACAAAGTTATAATACCCTTGTGCACAAGTGCGCTCGGGTATAAAAACTAAAACCGGTGCAAGAATTTCTTTTTTAATAGTGTAGTTGAAAGTTTACTAACCAAAAATACACGTCGTAATATGTACGACATTTGATTATAATTTAACAATGATTTCAAAAGTTCACCTCAGGCTGTAAAAATTGAATTAGAGGGTATTTCAAATTTTTAACAAACTTACGTTATGTTATGTTCTGCTACGTTATGGTATGCCATGTTATGTTATACTATATGTTATGATATGCTATGTTATGTTATATTATGCTGTATTATTTTGTTACGTTAATTTATGTTGTTATGCTATGCCATGTTGTTATGTAATGGTATGTTATGCTATGTTGTTATGTAATGTTATCGTGTAAAAATAAAATGTAAACGAATTAAATGAAGGGCCGTATTTCTATCTTTAAACACAAATTTTGTTCTGAAGAGAATGTGTTTTAACGACAGATAAGTTTAACTTTATATTTAAAACCGATAATAAAATGCTTTACTTTAAACACAATCTTAAATTTTAATGCAACTTTTAAATATAAAGTGAGCTTTAAAGTTACAAGTTACTAGAGAAAACAGACCTTAATAAATGGAATAAAATAAAGTTAATAAAGTCATATATAAAAGAACTGAGATTAAACATAAATAATACAAAAAAAGGAATTATTTCATTTCATAGCGAAAAAAAGACAACAAACGGAAGGGCGTATACAACGCCACGCAGATAAGACGTGCTGCAACTGCATGTGATACAATGAAATGCACAAATCAGGTTATTGACGCAGAAATGAAGACCCAGAGCAAGTTGCTGTATAAATTTATTTGCATGGATGAGTGGAGTAATGAGTACTTACATACATAGTATGTCGTAAAAACAAAAGAGTTAAGCAAATGTATTACAATAAAATTAATTGATATACATTTTATACAGAAGCGAGATAACTAGAAAGAATAAAACAAAAATGCGCAGAACTGGTATGATGCTTTTGTATTCGTACAAAAAAATATGGGTTTTCAGTTGCAAAGACAGCCGACAAAGTTGATAACGATTAGCACTGAACTGAGCATTTCCTTACTCTATGGGCAATTTCAGCAGATAGTGGAGGATGATTACCCATTCGATAGGCAAGTTTATAGAACGAAATGAGTTGCATATTGTCGGCGATACTGCAATACGTTCTATGTCACTTATTACCTCTGGTGCTTGGTTGATCTGTTATCTGTATCTGATCACTTCTGGCAATCGTTCATCTTCATCAGCCATAGTTAGACAGTTTTGTATGATTTCCAGATGCATTCCGGTGCAAGTAAGAGACCATCTAAGTGTCAAAGGTACTAATAGACATAGACCGTTTTGCAGTATCACCGACGGTATGTATAGTGATAGAACGATACGAGTATCGAGTACAGAATATCGATACTTTTTCACAAGTACTGAGTAAATATCGCGAATGAAAATGAACATAAAGCTCATTTACTTCAGTATTTCATAACTCCAAAACCGAAAACCCGAAAAACACGCCTTTAAAGTTTTTAATTCACATAACGTCACCCTCATGCCAGAAGAATGAATGTGCAAATTTATCAGTTTTGAGTTATTGGGTTGACTCGGTTAATCTTTGGATTTTCTATGTTATACCAAAACCCAGAATATCATGCGTACACGGAAAGTAAATATTTTAGCATTTTAATTGCATAAGTGTAGAGCTAAGTATCACAAAAAAAAACTTTCAAGCTTGATTTCCCAAAATGTTCATTTTTACACATTCATGTGTATGGCACGGGCGACGATATGTATACTCCCATTCTAATAGATAATTAATACATATTTTGTTCTAGTGAGCTCCTGGTAATTGACACAGTTATGAAATTTTTACACAACCTAGAAGAAAATGTAGCGGTCATTTCAACATTGGCTTCAGGTAAAAATGTTTAAATAACTGAAAAACGAATATCTTGCCTCCCCTTTGATAATGAATGGTGGAAGAGATAGTCTTTCGACTCGACAACTTGGCCACTCTCCAGCATAAGGCAGCCGTCGTTAACCCATGTATTCTACCTTCGTTGTGAAATCCAGCCCATTCTTGAAGAAAATTTTTATAAAAGAGAGCTTATCTTTTCAATACAGAATGGGCTTCACCACATTTGCTTCTCGTCTTCTACATTTTCATTTCATTTTCAAAGTAAAGTTATTTATAAATACATGTACGCGTCAAACAATAACACTAAACAATAAAATATTCGCATTTAAAAACTTGGAAATAAGCTTTTTGCTATAAACATTTAATTTACGCATGTAAAATTAATTTATCGGAAGTTTATTCCAAAAATTCCTTTAGATCAGATTAAAACTAAATACTAAGAGCAGTGACTATTCAATTTACAAATGGGAAGAGGCAAAAAAAGCAAAACCATCTGATTTCTGTTTACTTTTTGCGTTTGCTTTTAGAATACTTGGAAGTACGAGTATTATCGATACTTTTTTGCAAATATGAGTACTGGCATCGATACTTTTTTAGAGTATTCTATATGAGTACTAGTATCGATACTTTTCTAAAGTTTTATCACTAGGTATGTATAAACCATCGGACAGCTTCAATACTTGCACGAAATTTTTTTCTTAAGTTTCTGCATGAAGTAAAAAACTCCCCAAATCTGAGTAGTAAACAAAAACGTTTGCTGAGGGGATTCACAAAATAGTTAGTATGTCCCCTTTCAGACACGTCAAGTCTTGAAAGCAATTTTTATCGCATTCTCTTTTGTGTGTTTCTCTTTGCTTCCACACGCGTCAAGTTGTATTGAATTCAAGTCCTTGGATCTTGAAATGGGAAGCAACGAAAAGATCAAACGAGAACAAGAAAACTTGAAACGAATTGACGGTACGGAGGTATCT